TAAAGGTAGGGTATTCATAGATCATTTTTTATATGATCTATATGGCAAATTAAAATTTATATAGAAAATCACATGATTGATCAATCAAAATTGTCAAAACAATAGATTTGACTAATCAGAATTAGTTATTTTTGTGTAATCTAAGAAAATTTGTGGTTATCTAAGGTGTTTTATCAATATACAAAGTTGAATTTTTTTAAAAGATATAGTGTTCATAATTTTATTACTATAAATAAGAGATCCTAAATTAAATAATGCAAAAATTTGGTGAATATTAGTCATAATTCTAAAAAGTTTTATTAAAGATGAACTTTGCAATCTATATAAAATTTTAATTTGCTACATAGATCATATGAAAAATGATCTACAGACACCCTATCCTTAATTTGATTTGATTTGATTTAATCAAATTAAATTTAAATACAGAAATTTTAAATCAAATCAAAGATATTCTATAGAATAAATAAGCAATATAAGAAATAAGCTTCACTAATGATTTGTAATCATTAATTTTTTAATATTAGAGTTGCAGAGTTTGTGAAGTTTGTCTACCTATTCTATAGAATATCTCAAATCAAATTCAAATATGCTTGATATTTGATTTGATTTGATTTTGAGAAACTCTAATAGCCATTTTTATATAGTATAAAAGATAATTATTGTAAATCATTTAACAAAACAAAAAAAATAACAAAAAGCATAAAAATGTAAAAATGTAAAAAATATTAAAATCAGCTATCTAAACTCTATATACTAACGAAGTTAATTTGGGTCTAAAACCTGAAATCAAAATTTGAAGACAAAATAGTTTTTGATCTATTTTACTTAAAAGATGAAATTTTTTAATATTTTTTTTAAAGAAATAAAATTATAAAAATATAACTATCTAAATTAGATTTGTTTTTGTATATAAAATTCTAATTTACTCTAATGGAGATGAAATAGAGTTTTTTTGAAAACCTATTTTAGTGGCATGTATAATTTAAACCTATTTCAAGATACTAATTAAAAATATTGGGAAGATGCTTTTGCTTATATACAGTAACTTGTTTTTGTTTTGACTCTATATAACTCTAATTCTAATTAAATTATATGATTAGATATAACTTTGGGTCAGAGATATATAAGCTAAACATATTTGACCAGAAATATCTAGAATTGTCTATATATAAATTATTAAACTTACTGTAAATATATTTATAATTTTTAAACTAAACCAAAACTAAATTCAAACTTGATTTAAAATTTCAATATTAAATCTAAACCAAATTTTTTTTAAAAAATATTCAAGTTCAATTTAATTTTAAACTAAATTTAAACAAAATTTTAGTTTAGTTCAGTTCATAGAACATTATTTAAGATTTAAGTCAAGCTAAATTAATAATTTGAATTTATATAATTTAAATAGTAAACTGGTTATTATAGAGATTTTTAAATATATAATTTAACATAATGATAAATACAAGCTTGGGCACTTTTAATAATACATGTACTAGTAATTCCAAAATTCTGGTTATTAGCTTTTGTTTTAAATATAGCCAATAGTGATAAGTTCAGTTAATTATAGTTAGTTATCAATCAGCTATTATCAACTATCAACTAATAATCAACTATAACCAGCTATAGTCTATCAATATATAAAGCATTTAAACATAAACAAATCAACACGAATCAGCCTAAAAATATAAAATATTCTGAAATATGATATTTAAAAACATAAACAGATCAACACGAATCAGCCCAAAAATACAAAAGATCTTATAAACATAATATTTAATTGGCCCAATATCATGTGGTGGCTAGCTAATCAGCTAAACCACTATAGTCGACTATTATTAACCATAGCTATAGTTAGTCGGCTATATACATGTTGGCAAAACCAAAAATCTTAAAATCCTTCCCAAATCCCAAATTCCAAATATAATAAAATTGTCCCAAATCCCAAATCCCAAATCCCATCTCAAATATAATAAAAATCATCCCAAATCTCAATTCCAAATCCCAAATCCCAATAGTTTTGCCAGCAAGTATAGTCGGCTAGCCAACTACAAGCCAACCAAACCCATCCCTAACAGCCAATACTAAGTTATAAACAAATTATGGCTTGAAACCAGCTTTAACTAGTTTATAACCTAAAGCAGGGTTGTTAATAGTAACTTACCGTGGTAGATTACTATAAAATTACGATTTTGTGATAATTTACGGTAACTTACCATTGTAACTTACCGATAACTTACGGTAATTTTACAGCCCTGGCCTAAAACCAACTTCATCCATAGTTTAAATGCAGCTTTAAATATAAATCCGGCCATAGTTTGAAGCTTAAGCCATAATTTTAAGCTACAGTTTTAATGCTATATAGTCTAATTAATATTATATAAAATGGCTTAAACTATGGCCAGCCGTAATTTAAGCCATACTTAATGACTTAATTATAGTTAGCTTAAGCTATAGCTTAAGCATAGCTTAGTTATAATTTAAGCTATGTCTTAAGCTATAGGTAATTATGGCCAAATCAAGCCATTTAAATCCTAATGATGACCAAAACAATTATCCATAAACAACAGGTCCAAATACGTAACAACTAAATAAAGTTAAGTAACAAACGCGAATCATTCATCGCTAGTAAGTTTATATATAAAAGATTAATAGTAATAAAGTTGATTTAAATATAGGGTAATAAAACATCCTTTAATTTATATACTTAAAAACACTTTTCCGTTAGGTACATACCTTTTTAATCTGTTAACTGTATGGTCCAGTAGAAACGGCGTATTTTGTTTGTCTTTTAAAATTCTTTTGCACAGTAAATGTTAACACTGTCTTGAGAATATAGATGACTTCTTACGATTGTTATAAGTGAAACGTTACATTCTTAAAGTATTTAAAACGTATATTAAATTACCCAAACGATTGATTGTATTGATTAAGATTATTTCTAAGAGCTGACAGATACAATCACGGACCAAGTCTTTCCATGTCTTGATCGAAGCTTTTTAAATTGGGATTTAAAATAGTATTAGGCTTGTATAAAATTATTTACGCTCAGCTTTGGCGCGAAATCTGGTTTTATTCACGCATATCGTCACAACTTCCCATGATTTTTTTGAAATTACACGCCCGCCTCGATTTGCGCTTTCTTCTTCCTTTCCCTCTTCTCATTTTATTTTATTTCTGTATCCCGTTAACATTTCATACGAGTAAGTTTTCAGTTAGTTAGAAAAGAAGAAACGTTCACAGTAGGCGTTAACCGTACGTCAAGTCTGATTATTTGACTGGTAACTTTCACAAATTGTGGTGACGATGAGCTTTTAGTTGCTTCTCTAATTATTTCTAACTTCAATATATAAAAATACAGTACTAACCTTTTAAACATTTCCAACCTCGGATTTTCTTGATAAACTGCAGTAAAATATATGTTAAACTTCGCGTTAACTTCTTATAACTTAAGATGAGTTGAGCTGACCGTCTAAAGAATATAAAGAAAATAAGAGTGCCGAGAGTTAACTCCCTAGAAAATAAGAGTATCAGGAAATAATGTTAAGAAAATAATATCACAAAAACTGCGTGATCAATTTCCTATATCCAATCAGAAATAAGTAACTCAAGGTTGATCTGCATGTAGTACAAAAGTTACGGAACATCTACAGTCACATGATTCGACGCAGCTTTTTTTTCTAGGTGATTAAAACTTTATGATAGCGCAGCAATTTTTTTGTCAGATCTTATAGTGATAAACCTCACAATTCCCACAACATATCGTTATAGAAATGCCAAAAAAAAGTCGTCGGAAGAAAAAAGCACAACAAGAAGATTTTAAGGTGAAATTAAAATTTCAGTTAATTCAGTTAATATATGAACCGCAAATGCACTTTTAATTAACTGTATATTACAGAAACCAAAGCTCAAAATTGGAAAAAAGAAACCTCAAGCTAATAATTTCACTGATACATCATTCAGATCTAGAGGTGCTTCTTTACTAGTTCATGGTTATTTATTAGTATTGTACTGAAATTAGCTAACAATGTCTCTAGCAATCTCTTTGCCTGAGCAGAGTATTGCCAAAGATAAATCGGACGAAATAACCAATACTCGAAATTTATCGCTAAATGATCTTGTGACACAACTGAAGCATTATAGTCCTGTAACAAGAAAAGGCACGTATATTGCCTTAACGAGTGTATAATGAAACGACATGTAAATTTTCACTTATTGAAATCTTTAAAATTCCCAGACTCTATTCAAGGTCTTAAGGATTATTTCCGTAAACATCCTTCTATTTTATCTCAGTCCTTATCAACAATTGTGAATCCTCTTTCACGTCTACTTGTTGATGATGTAAGGCATTCTTATTGAAAATGAATATTTGTCACATATCATTCCATTCTTATTACCTATAATATTATAACAGGACAGAGGTGTTCGAAGATCATTGCTCACGTTCTTTACGGAATTCTTTCTAAACGTGCAAAAGGTACGAATCTAATGTTTGTTTAGTAAACAGAATATGCAACTAATGTAAGGTATTATATTTATAGTTTGAATTACGACCGTTTCTCTCCCTTCTGATAATATATACGTGCTCAGCAATGACACATATACATGATGATATACGGACAGATTCTATTAAATTCATGGAATTATGGCTTGATATTGCACCGGACGTCGTGGTGAATGAGTTTTGGCAGCGGGTAAGTTTCGTTATTCTTTAAATATTTTATAGTAATGTATCACTTATAATATCGCATTATCAGATTGTGCCAAACTACATTAGATTACTAACTACAGACACTAGTATTAGTATCAGTAGTTCAGGTGAGAAATTCTAGTGAATTTTGCTTATTATAAATGCCTTCGTTGCTAATGTCTCTATTTATCTTGGATCTATTTTTAATACGTATTAGCTTCTAATATTATCAGGACTTCTGTTGATAAAAATCAATTTTGGCCACAGGAAGTAAGAAATATATATTATGATTTTTGAATTACTATGTTTTTTGCCTATGATTATATAATTTAGTCTACTAATATGTTACACAGATAAAAATTGAAATACTATCAAGTTTTCATAAACTTTTAAAATACGGATTTACCTTCGATGAAAATGAAGACACGTAAGTTAATAATCAATAATAAATTGATAATAAAGACGTAATTTTTTTATATAATATATAAATTATAGATATTTGTCTTTCATGAATTTTTTGTCCGCTGAACATTCGAAGCAGCCAACGCACTTGTCCAAGCAACATGTTTCTATAAATTTAACAGATACTCATGAAATGGTTTGTCTAAATATACCGGTATTTATTTCTTACGCACCCGATTCTTACATGCTAATCACTAGCTTGTTTAGGTTGGAGTTGTACCTCTCCATCCATTGACTTCAACGATCTTACCTTCTTTGTTCTCGCCTTCGGCAACGTATCATTCCGCACAACCAAATATTTTCAACTGCGCTGCATCAGTACCTACGAAAGAACAAGACGTAGATCGAATTAGTATTGGCATGGAAACATCACAACATGACATGCGTAAAGAAAAAAATGGCCATGATTGTTCGACAGTGCAAGGACGTGTGGCTGATGCAAAGGTGGTATTTGTTTTATGTTTGCTTTTTTAATTTGCAAATTCTAATACATCTCTCAAACCTTTGATTTGTTAAGGATCTTTTAAATTCTTTACATCCTATACTTCTATCATTATGGCTAGATACTGCACCATCAGTATTTGGAACAATTTCGTCTTTAACTCGTGTAACACCTGCACTTCAAATAGTTTACCTTGTAATAAAAATAATGATTATATTATGGAGAGCAATTTCACGCATCATATTCATAAAACAGGTTCTTAAATTTGATTGTTAATGGAATACAAACTGTCTGGAATTACATATGACTGGGAAATTCATTTATTAGAATATTTTAATATAAATGACAAGTAGGATATTATGGATAAACAGTGGATAGAGAACAACTTAAAGCCACTGCTTAAACATTTTGTAATATACTTTCCGTTTGGTGCAGAGTCTGCAGATGTATGTGACTTAAAGGTTTGTTAGATTATATCCATTATAACATATTCTTCAAAAGAATTTTATTAGAGTATTTTTGTTGAATTATTGAAATTGATAGGTTGAACCTATTATACAAGAAATGAATATCATGTTTTGCGAATTGGTGATATTATTTTTGACTGCAGCAAAATCTTCAATGGAAATCGTTATGAATAAAAAAGGCATATCGAACAATACAGAGACTGGATTATTTAAAAAGCAAAAAAAACCATCTAAATCAGAAACTCATGAACTACATTCTTTGTGGACAGAGCAAATTGCTGAATATGTTATGGGGATTTTGGGATCTGATGTAATATTATATTTTCATCTATATAATCTATTATTTAAAATTATTTTTATTAATTTTTAATGTTTATGCAAGTCAATTGAAGATAATAATAGATTGTTGAGGGTTAGATTTAAACCAGAAAATTTGAAAAATTTGATACCTACATTATGGGGATTATTAAATTATTCTAATAAAGAATTACAAGAATCTATTTTTCAGGTTCGTACTTATTTATTTAATAATTGTCTTTGCAACATTAATTTGTTTTAAAAAATTAATTTACAGACAATATTGGATTATTCAAAACGATGTCGCACTCAATCAACAACAAAACGAATTTGTATAGAATTTATTTCTAAAATTTTAATGGTATAAAATTTAATACATAAAATAAATATTTATAATTTTACACACCATGTATGCCACATTTTAATTTATTGATACTTTAAAAGGTTCAAAGCTTTTCAAATTATAAAGATTCTTTCTGCATGCAAAAAGAATCTTCTTTAGTCAAGTCGCTTCAAAGTTGGGTATTAATGTTACCGAAATTATTATACGAGTTAAAAACGGATAGTTTTGAAACAAGTCAGGTAGTATAAATAATTAACATCTATGATTTTGACGTGACGATGTTTTTAACCAGTGTGTGAATGTTTAGAATATTTTGACTGTTTTATGTGATATTGCAAAACGCGGGAATAAAAGCATTTTTGGAGAAGAGGTAATTTTAAAAAAAATCTATATAACAACTAATTGGTTATTTTAATTCATAAAATTACTTTACACAAAAATAGATTTTGGAACAACTTCAAGTATCACTTGTGCCATTTTTTTACACAGATTCACGAAATAAAGGTATTATATGAAAATGAGTTTTAAAATGATTTGATTTTTAATAATAGTTTTAATTTAGAACCTTTATATGGGCCATTTATATTATTATCGCAAATGCATCAACGTAAAACTATTGAATTTCTTTTTTACTGCCCAAGAATTATTGATGAAATGATGCTTGCATTGAAGCAAGTGTTAAAGAGAGATGAGTCTATATTTATTAAATCTTATATAATGTGTTTATCTGAAAAATTTTCAGAGGTAACATCTTTATAGACAACCAATACAATAGAGATTATTACAAAAACAATAGTCAAATTTATAAAATTTTTTAATTTTAGTTTTTTTTTTTATAAAAAATCAATATTTTATTTACAAAACTTTTTGATAAAATTGATACAATAATTATAAGTAATTTATAGTAAAGGTAGCTTTTAATTCTAAGCTTTTTAATTGGTTTTTTAATACAAAATATTTATTTATATTTGTTTGTTTAAAAACTATAAAGAATAGATTTAAATTTTTATTAAAGTATAAATATATAAAATTTATAATATATAGGTTTAGTATATTTATAAATCTAAATAGTATTACAAACTTTTAGTATTATTTATAACAACTTATAAGATGGATAAAACTAATACTATATTTGTATAAATTTAAATATTTTAAACTGTAATTAATGATTTTAAATAATTTTTTGTAAATAATTCATGGTAAGTTTAACAAATTTTTTTTAAATTCAATACGTATCTCCATCTTTATATTTTATTTAGCTCAAGTAATTTTTTGTTTACATTTCAATTAGACCATATCGAGGCACAAAATATTTCACCATTGAATTTATCCTTTATACGTATGCACATACTTAGTACTAAAAATTATTCTACAAAAAATTATTTACTTGCATATATACATAATTTGTCAACTTTTTTTTAAAAAAAAATTTTTTTTGACTAATTTTTTATTTAAAATTTACATTTTAGAAAACCAAGAAAAAATTACTAATTAATTGCACCAAATCTTGCAATTTATTTGAATATATAATGCATCAAAATGTACAATTAAACTAGTTAGGCCAATTAGAATTCTAATATATATAAAAATGATTTATCTTTGACTTAAAGATTGTCCCATTTGGCCAATTTGCCCCATTGGTTGTAAATGAGGAGTCGAAGGACTATTTCTAGGTTGGCCGTTATGATTATTAGGATTTTCATTCATCAAAGAGTTATGCATTGCATTATGACCATCAAAACTAATTTGATTTTGATTTGGTCCGTAATAAGTTTGCATTAATCCATATTGATTACTTTCATTAGAGTTAGGAATCATATAAAATGAATTGAACGAAGTAGGCCATGATTGTTGTGGATTTGGTTGTATAGGCTGCATCGGAGGTACAAGCATAGATTGAGGACCAAGTTCAGCATTTCCAGTGGGAAATGATTGATTCGTAGGTATTGGAAGTAAAGGTCGTGTAGCAATAGGTGATTGATTATTGTTATTCATTGCCGCATATCTTTGCTGTTGAGGCGAGAAAGAATTCATTGATGGAATGCCGATGTTCGATTGATCATGATTATTTGTTACTGCAGATAACCGTTGATTTAAAGATGAAATTCCATTAGGAGTTTTTACACTATTATCTATGGATGTATGATTCATAATTGCAGTATGAGGTCTTGGAATTTCCGAACGTGATTGATTATTATTTTTCTTTAAACCAGAAGGAACTTGACTTGGAGGACGAATACCACTACGTGCTTGTATATTGTTTTGCTTAATATAACGATCCATTTGATATGATTGTGGAATTCGTAATCCTGAACGTGCTTGATCATTATTCATAAGAGAAGCTACAGACACCAAAGATCTTGCAGGTTTTTGGTTTAATTGATCATTACTTATCATATTAGCATCCTTAAGTTGATTGTCAATTGGTATCAAATTTGAATTTTGAGATCCGGATGGGGAATGTGACGAAGCATGATCCGGCAAATTAGACAATGTCCGAGTTATATGTTGTTGTAAAGGACTTTTAGAT